TCAAAAAAAAAAAAAAAAAAAAAAAAAAAAAGCCTCCATGGTGGTGCAATGACAGAACTGGAGGTTGATCAGCTTCCTAAACAACTTAGCATAGAAAGCCTGTGCTCTGGAAGAGGGCTGAATACTGAAGCCAGTGTTGCACCATGCAACTCAGAGAAAAGACGTGTGCTTAAAATTCTTGATTTTATTGCAATTGTACTCCTTCCCATGGCTCATCCTTTTATTGCAATTGTACTCCTTCCCATGGCTCATCTGAGCCCCTGAAACACATTCCAAGAGCTGGCAGCTCTCATTGCAGTAATTTCTAGATCTTATGGAAAATAACTAAAGCAAAAATCAATGTGAGCAGCTCTTCTAAAAAAGGAAACCAGCCCAGTGGGAGAGGTGCCCACAGCCATACCATCTCCTGGCTGCTTCTGCAAGTGGGTGTGCAAGGAGACGGAAGCACCGCTAGTGAGACAACCAGCAGAAAGCATTGTTTAATTTCTGGAAAAACCTGCCAGGAGAAAGATAGGTTTGGGATCAAAGCCCAGAAAATCGCTCTACTGGAGTGGAAACTTCAAAAATCCTTGAAGCAAGTGACAATTTCTCTGCACTCTGTTCTCCCTGTTAGTCAGCCACTGGTGCTATGAGGTGAATACCCCTGGTAGGATGTTGTGCTCAAAAACTGCCAAGAAAGAGGAGGTAGGAGCTCCTGGAGTCACAGTGCTGCATCCCAAATCCTAAGGATACCATGCTTGCACACACTCAGCTTTCTCCTCTACACAAAGAGGAATTGTGACCCATTAGGGTGAGAAGGGAAGGAAAGCAAATTATTTTGAGATCCTCAAATTGAGGAAATTAGGGAAAGGCCAAGGTCTGTTATGCATATTCATATCCACATTTATCGATGGGGTGACCTGAGTCATGCTCTGTTTGATGCTTTTTGCTTTGTTGTTTTTTTCAGGATCCATCTATCTTCACTGTCTTGACAGCCAAGTCGACCCGTCCTGGAGTGGCAATCGCTGACTTTGTCATATTCCCCCCACGATGGGGGGTTGCCAACAACACCTTCCGGCCGCCTTACTACCACAGTACGTCTGGTTTTTGTGGGTTTTGTTTGAGTGCAGAGGCACAGAAAAAACAAGCCTCCATTTATCTGAAAGCACACACAGTGAAAAAGTCTCATTTGTTGCCCTTGGCACAGTTACACACAGCTTCTTGAAGTCAGTGAGTTCTCCTTGAAAAATGAACAAAACCAGAGAGGTTATTATTTGCAGAATCTCGGGAAAGCTCAGAGGTGAGGGCTGGTTGTGCTGGCATAGGTGGTTGTGCCTGTACCCAAGGGACTCCCGCTGAGATGGGGTGCACACTTAAATTGCACTGCATGAACAGGTCAGATACTATCCTGCCATCCAACCATGAATTATAGAACAACTCAGTAAGGTACGAAAGAATGGGAGAATGGAAAATATGACAACACACATGGAGTAAAGCACTGTGAGAGCTCCCATGAACTAGCAGGGTGAGCTCAGAGATGCAGTGAAGGGTTGGGTTGGCTCTCCTGAGCCCCTCTTCACTCCTGCACAGTGGTGGAGGTACCACTGGCATTTACAAAAGCCAGAGGGAGGAACTGGGCTCCTTCTCAGACTGAGAACTGGCTGTATTTGGGGGATTTTGTCACCACCCCTAGGGGTAGTTTCTTTCTGGTAGACCCTGCCACATGTTGCATTGAATGGATGCTAGAAACCTGGCTCCCTACCAGACTCCACGCAGACAGCTACCACAGGTATCTGTTTGACAACAATGCCTTGGCCATAGGTTTAGCACTGAATCCATGGCGACCACGATGCATCTACTCTAGCCCAGACATAGAAGACTAAAGCTTGAATGGGTACAGTTGGAATCACAACAGCTAGCTCTCAGGATGCTGTGCTTACTAGTTCCCTCAGAAATTTGTGCTGTGATGAGAACTTTACATCACTGCAGAGGCATAGCAGGACAAGAAACTGGGAGGTAAGAGAAACACTAATTCAGTAAATGTTCTCTTCCAAACATTTTTCAAGAGATCTTGTAGAGAGTTCAAGAGTTCTTTTCCCAGAAATGCCTTTTGGCCTCTTCTTCTCATGTGCATTAAAAAGTCTGTTCAAAGAAGCGTTCAGAGAATTTTGGTGCACTCAGAGTTACGGTTTGCTTGGTGCCTTAACTTTGCCCCAAGCAGGAATATAGCCATGGTATTCCAAAAATTTCCCACCTTAGCAGACATCCCTAGACACCACAACTATTTCAATACAAAGATGGCTCGTAAGAAAAATTTCTCACCATCACTTTCTACATGCCTGGAGGTTGTGAATTACTCCTACAGTCTTTGGGCCAGAGGTAGAAATATATCTGATACCTCTTTTATACCAGGTGTATATATTGCATCCGTGTCTGAGAGAGTGTTTGTATGATTCTTATCTTGGTAGGACAGAATATCTAATAGCCACTGAGGTTTTTTGACTTCGCAACACTGTCTTTGGAGAGGATATTTTACAGTGCTATTTTACAGACAGGGAGCAGAAGCACACCAAAGTTGTTGGAAGTGACATAGGAAACCTGCAATTGAACAAGAAATTGCTCAACACATAAGTCCCTGCCTGGCTTCCTACTCACCAGCCCATTCTCCCCAAGTGATACGACAAGTTATGTAGAGGGCACATTGGTAATGAAGCTCTCACAGCCTGTACTGCTCCCTGATTGCTCCAAGCACAGCACTTAAGTGAGTTCAATGAAAAGCCTGTACAATCAACTCTTACAGGAGATGCTGGCAACATGGGATGAAAATAAATGATTGTTTGCATACATTTTTAGGCCAACTGTGCTCTGAGCTAAATTAGTTTTGTTGTTAAATACTTCAGGCCTCAGGTTGTACTTACCAAAGACAGAACAAGTGGTTAAAAAAGGCTATATATAGCAGGGCTGCAGAAGCATGTCCTGGTTTTGCAGCAAACTGACCACTCAGCAGAAAGCTGCCATATTGTTTAGTCACATCAGATCTACTAAAGCTGGAAGACTGCAATGACAGTTGTTAACACACTTTCTTCAGAGGGAGTATAACTGGTAAGTACTGCATTATTGGATCTGGCTATCTGTTGCTAAGTTAGGGTACATCACTCCATTAGTTTCAGAGGGTCTGCCTAAGGTATTCTTCCTTAGGGAAGGACAGAATTTGTCTCCTTGTCTTCGTGCACACAGTGGCTCTTGAGAACTAAGTAGATCCTGTGTGCATCAAAAGCATAAGGTACTGAAGTCCCTGGCTGGACTAGAGTGGCAGAAGGACACAGAACACAATAATTTTGTGCTTCCAGCCTAGGCTGTCTCACCAGGTGGTTGTGCCTCAGAAACACAAGGATGATTACACTGAACTACCTTTCCAGTGCTTTCAGATCTCTAATATCTCCAATATTGGTCTGTTGATACCAAGTTACCCAGACACAGTCTGTGTGCAGCTTCAGTGCTTATGCAGATCAGTGTAGCAGGAGAAACACAGGTCTACCCACATCAATGCACCTTCATATTAGGGAGTTTTCTGTTTCTGACTCCAGATAACTGAAAGTGTGATAGAACCTTTACCACTTTGCAAGCACTGCCTGTAGGATCCCTGATGTCTTCTCCTGTGCAGCCATGTTTATTAACCTCCACTCCCCATACTGCCTGCTCTGTGGGTTTCAAGCTCTTGGCTGCTTTTGTGTTACAAACTCTTCTCTATGCTGTCCTTAGGGAATTGCATGAGTGAGTTCATGGGGCTCATCAAAGGCCATTATGAAGCAAAGGAGGAGGGCTTCCAGCCTGGAGGGGCCACCTTGCACAGCATGATGACTGCACACGGGCCAGACGCTGACTGTTTTGAGAAGGCGAGCAAAGCCAAGTTGGAGCCTGAGAGAGTTGCAGAAGGGACTATGGTAAGGAGCCTGTAAGGTTTTGTATGCAGCACAACATATTGCTGCTGAGACACTCACAAAGCCTAGCTTCCTACAAGCAAGGTGGAAAAGTTCTTGGACCAAATTGCTGTAGCATTCACACTTCTGGCAGATTGGATATGAGATGTGGCAGCTTTGACCACATAAGTTGTTACCTGAGCTGGAAGCTGGGAATTTTCATGCTGATTAACTTAATTTTTGTCTTAGGCTATGGACAAAGAAGTCAAACCCATAACTGTCTTCCTTTCTTACTCACTAAAATAAAATTAAATCATCACCAATAGGCTCAGAGCTAGAGCTTATTGAGCAACCTGGCTTTCAGGATATGCAGAGTCCAAAGTCACTCCTGGGACCTGGCTAACACCAGCACTGTAGCACCAGCTCTGAAGAGATGTGCCTATCTCTGCTGGGAGTTGTTTTCTCCCCCTGGGCTGACCAGGTCGGATGAAGAATTTGGCAGAGCTGGACATGTGTACAGTTCCTGTTTGTGCTAGAGTCGAGTCCCTTTGCCTGGATTCAGACTCTCCCTTCTCCTAACCTACCTTTCCTATTCCCACCAGGCCTTCATGTTTGAATCTTCCCTCAGTATGGCTGTTACTGAGTGGGGCCTCAAGACCTCCAACCGCCTAGATAAAAACTACTACAAGTGCTGGGAACCTCTGAAAAGCCACTTCAACCCTAACTGCAAGTAAAGAGATGGATTTGTCTCTTGCAGTGTGTGAACAAAAACAAGGAAACCCAGCAGACCTATACGTGGCAGCACAGCCAGCTCAGACAACGAGAGTGCAGAATGGCACTTCCAGCAGCCACCAAGTTAATAAAATGACCATGCCTATGTAATTCGGGAAATGAAATGAAAACCACTATTTTTAGCCTTCAAGTACCCAATTAAAGCTATCCTGGTGCCACTCTGGAGCTGAATTACTTGAGTGCCTCTCATCATATGCAGTTGGTATGAATGCTGTACTTGCTGTAAATGCAAGGTGACAGCCACCATTCCAAGGGCTCCTGACTATATGGTGTGATGTGCCTTTCACAGGGAAAAGCTGAAGATCAGTGAAGCATTTCATGCCACCTGCAAGGGAAGACTTTTCCAAACAGAGCTGAAAACTCTATCAGATGTAAGCCTCCTACCAGAACAGGGCATTTCAGCCTGCTGGGCTGTGGATGGTTGCCAAGAAGAGCCCTTATGGTCAGAAAAGCATTCTGCAGATTAGAAAAGGTCAGAGAATCCAAAGCGCCTCACTGTTAATTAAGGAAAAGCTTCCTTTTCAATCTTATTTTAGTTGTCCATCAACACTGACTTCTTTGTCAACAATTGATGTCTCTTTTACAAAGAGCCTCAAAAAGCACAGGAACACTCAAGCCTCACCCCTCGGTGGTAACTTTGAGCCACTCTCCTGTTCCACAGGGTGTGGGCACAAAAGGAAACCCCAAACAATTATTCTGGGAATGAGATGCATAACTACCTTCAGGCCTCTGCTTTAGCACATGCACTTTTTGTTGTGATATCAAAACAACATTTTGAAATGTCAAATTTAGTCCGATAGGTAGTGCTAAATTTTGCTGCCAAGCACTTTGCCTCTCAGATCCTGAACTAATTTGCTGAAAATCATGCTCATTTCATTTTCTCAGGGAACTGATTTATCCTACTGCGCCCATGGAAACTGAAAAGATTGGGTACGTGTTTCAGTCTAGGATGTGAAACTGTTACTAAGTTTGGTACCAGGAGGATCTGTGCTTCCTACTTCCCCAAAGGATCAATCTTCCATTTCCCAAAAGAGAAGGAAACACAGAGCTGGAACACCTCACTTCAGTCAGTTATGTACAACATCAGACTTGGATCTACACCAGATCCTTCAGGGAAAAAAAAAACATCAGCTAGGAGCAAAGCACTACGTTATATAATCTTCAGGGAGATGTTTACTTTAAAATAGCCAACTCAGAAGATGATGATCAGGAGGCTCCATTTGTCAGAAAAATTGACTTAATCAGACTGATCCAGGAATAAATGAGGTCTAAATGTTTCACAGCCTGAGAGGAAAAGCTTGTTTTCTGTTTGGGACATAAATTATGATCCAATTACCTGCAGGCTTGGGTTTCTCTTGCTACAGAATTACCACTGAAGCAGAAATGAGTGGTTACACATCAGTCAAGGGTAAAATTCCATCAGGCACACTTACCCTTCTGTCTTCTCTCTTCACTTCTGAAGGGAACACCCCTCTTCTTCCTGTGTTCACCCAGCACCACAGCCTCAAACAACCAACCTCACCCCCAGCAACAAATGCTTGATCCTCACAAAAAAAAAACCCGAAAACCACCAGCCTGGGGAGATCTGGAAGTAGCACAAGAGAAAAGCAGGGCAGCCTTCCTCAAATCACCATACTCAAACCCATGGAGACATAGCAGACACTCCTGAAGGTGCAGCAAGCCAGCCAAAGGCTGGCCTAGAAGACCAGAGATGCTGCTCCCATCCACAACCCATCCTGAACAATTTGTTCAACTGGCCTAAAACAATGCAGCTGCAAGGCAAAATTTACACATGTGGCAACTGAAGTTCCAATTAACTGAGGAAATGAGTCCTGGGAAATCAAATTAGCTTATGGCAGCAGGAAGATAGTTAATTTAGCATGCTCAGACAAGTAGTTATTTCTTTCCCTACATATCACATCCTCCATGCATTGATGCCTCTTCTCTTGCAGTGACCCACAGCTCTATTTTGTAGCATCATTTGCAGTAACCTTTTAGAAGCACTTCTGCAAAGAAAATAATTGAGGTGTGCTTTAGCTAAGGCAGTAGAAGAGCAAGTTGCAGACAGGTGCTTGCTGGGAGCACATATGGGATTGCAAAAGCAGGCCAAAGTCCAGAGTAGCTGCTGCACGCTACTAGTGCCAAGCCTCCAGCCGGCCTGAACGTTTCAAGACCCAGGCAAGAAAGTGATGAGTTAGAACAGGAAACACTTCTTTAAAAACTTTTTTGTTTGCTTATTTTAAATATCAGCAAACACACATCTACTGTGACAGTACTGGAACAGTTTGCCCACAGAGGACACCTGCTTCAGAGATGTTAGCCTTTTGGACAGTTCTGACCCTGCTCGAGCCAGGAGGACAAGATGACCTCCAGCAGTCCCTTCCAAAACCAGCTGTTCTGATTCTGTGAAGAGGCTCATCAGTTTGCTCAGATGAAGGGAGACTCCAAATGGCCTGCACCAACATCCTAATCATGCAAGACAGAACGCCTACCAGAACTGACCTGCTTTGCAGTCAGTAACGTAGGCTGCACTCACAGCAGGAGGATTTGTAACTCATGTTTAAGGCTGCATTTTTGACGCTGACCTCAACATTCAGGAAAAAAGCTCCTTTACACTGTCTGAAGAATGAGGGTTGTTTGGACTGTGATGGCACCTAGAGGCCATCTGAGAATTCAAGTCTGAGTTAAGATCTTTTCCTCACACTCACATTTCACTACTTCGTGGTGACTATTCTGTAGCCACCCTACATCACTGACCCTGGCAGAGAATAAGCAGAGGAGATACTTCTGCAGACACAAGGTTCAGTTACGAGTTATGCTTTTTACATGTTTATTATAAATATCATAGCTTGTTTCCAGGGGAGAAATTGAATTCTCTTATACTGCAAAGGAACCACTGCCAAAAAGAAGCACCTCATCTTTTTAGCTCTTGATCCTCTGCATACAGGAATCACAAAATTTGTGGAAATGCTTAGTCACATAAAAACTGACAATGTGCAGTTCACTATTTCCAAAACCAGTACAGTAATTGTATTTGAAATATAGGGTGTAGGATTATGTTTTTTTCAGGGAAGGAAAAATCAACTTATGGAGAACAGGCAGGCAGACTCCTAAATAGTTAACTAGAATATAGAAAAGGAGTTTGTCTATTACCTGATTTGGGCAAATTACATTGTCAAAACAACAACAGAAGAAGTACCTAGTAAATGAGCAATTGATTTTTAGGAAACTGTATAGGGATTGCTTCATATTTTAACCTGTTATTAATTTTAACCTTCAGCCTGAACTGCTCTGCCAGCAGCAATTTCCACATTTTAAAATCTTTATAACGAAAGAGTTAACTGGTAAGCTCAGGACATGCTCTCTGTATCTATTTGCAATAGATATAAAGATTCTGCACAGTTGCACTTTCCGTAATTATTAAAGATGGAAGACGACTGAGGAGTAATTAAGATTTATTCTTCTGAAGGAGAAACATCAGCATACAGTACATCTTATTTACTTCTGTCTCAAGAGCAGCACTGTGATTCCAGCAACTTAAAAAACACTGAATGGTCGCTCGTATTTACCTTCTCGGATAAGCTTCTCTTTATAATCCTGTGGAAGAGAGAACATTCATCATTACTCTAATGGACAGGAAGTTTCAATCAGCCAGGGATAAGAGCAAAACAACTCTAGTATTTCAGCAATGAGTATAGGAATATATTACCATACCTAGTTTAAAGACCTAAGTATGGTGAAACTCCTTAGTAACTTGCCTAGATGTTCACTAAATGTGCTCACTTTCAGCCCATTTGTATCTCACACTGCAGTCATCCACCATTTCAGAGACACGTTACCGCACACAGAAACTGCCCTGACTCTTTCTGCCTGGATAAATACAGAATTGCTGAAGACTGAGAAATCCCTCTTTAGCTTCCCAGACACACAACAATCACTACTCAGAAAAAAACATAACAACTACTGTGCTTTATAAACCACTGGAAATATCCCTAAACACCAGTAAAGGAATCAGAAAACACTGTTCTGGAGATAGTATCAAACACTTCAGATTCAGTATTCTCAGTCATGCATGTCAGGGATGTAACTCATTCAGGTTTATTTTCAAGTGCTCACATGCTGATCCACGCTTTGTGGCGAAGCCCAAGCATGGTTTAGCATATGAAGCAAATCCAGAGTGACAATGAACTGTGGAAATATTGAAGTTCCAACAATATTTGCGTCAACATGCTTGGTAAGTTTGTTAGCACTTGTTGCTTTAGATTTATACTAGAAAATATTATTCCAAATAATACTGATCTTTGTGTTTCCTGGTTTGTTACTTGATCTAAATTTGCTATTTTTCTGAAAGAAGAGGGAAATAAAACCAGCCACTGACTGGCAGTCACCTAGCATACTCCAAAGTACAGTAAAAACTTCTTTACAAGGTAGTTAGGCACTGGAATAGGCTCCCCAGGGAGGTGCTTGAGTCACCATCCTTGAATGTGTTCAAAAACCATTTGGATGTGGTACTCAGGGACATGATTTAATGGTGGGTTGTCACAGTTAAGGTAGTATGGTTAGGTTGTGGTTCACTTGGTGATCTTTAAGGTCTTTTCCAATCTGAGCAATTCTATAATTCTAATGAATATAGTCGATTACTTTCAGAAAAATCTGCTGCTGCTTAGATTCTGACATCCTCATTCCAGGATTTACAACAGAAGCAAGTTACAAAAGCTTCCAAAAGCCCAAAAACCCAGATGAGATCAGACACTGTCATCAGCTTATAATTAATTTAGAGTCAGTGGAACCATGGAAACCTTTATTATGGTTTCCACATACAAGCAAAATGTCGTACCAGAGAAACTGTGACTGGCTGTATCTGCGGATGCAACACAGGCCTCAGCACAGTGCAACTCAGCTGTTTGCAACTTTGCAACTCAGCTATGAGACTTTCAGATAGAAGGTTTGGCACTAACTAGCCTTCTGTCCCTTAATACTTCACTAGTATTAAGCACCCTTAGATGCAGGCAGAATTAAGTCTTTAGGCAGATCTGTGTTTTACAGCCTGGTGTTCCCTGATGCTCAACGCAACCAGCAGAACTCACCCTCTCAGTTTTAAAGACAGCTATCCAGAAGAGGATAGGGCCTATTGCAAATACAGCTCCTAGGAAGGACG